CAACACAGATGGTAAGTCAAGGGGTATGTTCAGGGGTGGGCTTCAAACATTTTAGCAAGGGGTTCACTGCCCAGTTGCTAGGTGGGCATGGCCATGGTGGGCATGGCCTAGTTGGCCTCATGCACCATGGCGGGTGGGGGGGCTTTTCACCCTCCCCGGGCTCTGGAGACTTTCCTCGACTCTCCGGGAGGGCGAAAACAGCTTCCTTGTGCTCCGGAGGCCATCCAGAACTTCCTGGAGGCCCATTTTTCACCCTCCCCAAGCCTCCGTGCAGGCCCTGTACTCACCTGGCACCAAATGGGCTGCATGGAGACTCCTGGGAGGGATGGGAGAGGCCAGCCAGGGGTGGGGTTTGCGGGTTCGCAAAACTAAGCAGTTGCTTAGCTAGAGGATCACCCAAACTCATGCTAACCTGCAGCAGCCCACTCCTGGGTATGTTAGCATAAGCAGTTTGATGTCAGGAACAATGTACGCTGCACCAACATCTTCGAAATTCCATAGCTTGCAAGGGGAAAGATCCAGATTGTATTCCAGTGGAAAGATTCCATTCTCGTGCCAAACTCTCTGGAAAATGATAACAATCCCAAAATCAGGGGTGAAATTCAGCAGGTTCTGACAGGTTCTGGAGAAGCGGTAGCGGAAATTTTGAGTAGTTCGGAGAACCAGTAAATACCATCTCTGGCTGGCCCCAGGAGTGGGGAGGGAATGGGGAATTTGCAGTATCCTTCCCCTGTCACACACCCCAAGCCACACCACACCCATCAAGCCATACATCTGAGAAGGAAGCTGCATCTGAGAAGGAAGCTGACCCCCTCAATCTTGCTTCTCTCCGTCGCTTCGCAGGTTGTCCACGAAATCAGAAATTACCCTCAGTTTCAGCTGCTTGCTCTTCAGGGACTGAATCCAAATCGGCACACATCTGCCGTGCGAGAAAGTCATGAGGTGAGTTCCAGAAACCATTTTCGCATCTATTGGGTGATTGCCCATCAATTACATGTTTCAGTGCAGGGACCAGAAGTGGTATTCAGCTGGTTCAGACTGGTTCGCCCAAACCAGTAGCGGAAATTCCACCTGCCCCGGCTCTATGCCATCCTATTTAGGCACGTTTTTGAGGCCGGGAGCATGGGCAGAAGACGCTCATGCAAGCAAAGCATATGCAGGAAGGGTGGGCGCATGTGTGGAAGGGCCCATGCAGGAGGGCGAACTGGTGGTAACAAAATGTAAAATCCACCTCTGGCAGATGTCAGCATTCCAAGTATCATGTAGAATTAAATCAGAGTCCAAGGCAAAACAATCCTTAAAGTTCCAATTTAATAAATCAGACATCTTAGCACATCTGTGTAAAATCCCAATTCTGGAAATTACATCAGAATCCCACCCAGTTAAAAGTTCATGATCTTGTCCCCACACCCACAATCCATCACCTGATCCAATCTTCTTCTTTCATGCTGCTTCCGGTCAGGTGTAAAAGTGCAGAGACAAAAGACAACCTTGGCTTCTAGTAAAGAATGACAACAATACATTCCACAATCCTACTCCTGTCTATTCCCCCGTCCCATCAACTATACTAAAGAAAC